TCGTTTGCACCCAAGGTCACCAGTATCCGATGCATCGATGCATCGGAGAAAGCGATGACATTGCCAGGGGTGGTGTGGCGCCATTAGAATTCCGCAGTTCGGCGTTCTAATCACAGCGCACAGTTTTCTCATATGTAACATGAGGATAATCATAGGGACCTGAGGGCGATTACACGTAACTCCGTGACAGTGCTCAGCCAGCCGAGGCCACCGACCCTCCAGCCGCGGACACTGGCGCCAGCAGCGGGAGAGCTTCGCTGTGGCTGCCCTGGCCTGCCCCCATCCGCCTCGCCACCCAGCGTCTGCCTGCAACTCTGTGACATGCTGAAAAAGGCCAAACGGTGGAGACAGTCAAGAGATCAGGGGTTCGGGGGAGGGCGGGATTTTCAGGGCAGAGGAAAGAGTCTGTACGACACTGAATGGTGGATCCGGGTCGGCGCACGTTTATCAAAACCCGTAGACCGTGCAGCACAGGGAGCGAGGCTCAGAGGACACTGCGGACCTTAATGACGACAATGATAATGAATCGACATTGGCTCATCGACTGTAGCAAACGGCCTACACGCACGCAGGACGTCACTAATAGGAGAAAGCAGGGGCCTGCTGAGGGGCATTTAAAAACCCTGGATTTTCCGCTGAATTTTCCTCGGAGCAAAAACAGCTCAAAAAAAAGTCATTAAAAATCAAAACGGGCAAGGTCGGGGTTCGGCCCGCAGCCATGCCCAGCGCCCGGCGCCCAGGCCCATACCTTGCCGTAGAGCTTGTTGTGAAGGACGGAGGATGCTCTCCTCGTGATCTTGGTGACCACCCCCGAGGAGCACACCCCAGTGAGGATCGTGCACAGGGTGCCGAGGCCGTACACCGGCTCAGACAAGAGCAGCTGGGGGTTGCCCAGTATGTCGCCTCGGTCTGCGGAGGATTTGTTGCTTTCCTGGCTGCTGATGGCCTTCGGGAAAGAACAGGGGGTGTGACGTGACGAAGGGTACACTTGGTCTCTGTCTGCAGTTCCTGGCAGAGCTCCTGAGACGACAGAGTGCCAGGAGCCTCTTTTGTTCTAATACTTGGCCTTGACTCTGGTTCCCAAACTTCTAAGACCCTGGGAGATTCTGGAGTAATGGGAGTCTCTCTGTAGCGGACGATACGGCTGGGGGTTGGGGCCTGAGGGCCCCTGGATAGCTTCAGAATGGGGGCTGGTCACCAGAAAGACCAAACCACGAGTGAAGAAGGCTTGGAACTTTCAGCCCCGTGCCCATCCTCCACGGGTGGGGAGAAGGGCTGGACGTTACATTATTAATTTATCGTGCGTATGGGATGAAGCCCCATCAACATCACTGAAAAACGGGGTTCAGAGAGCTAACGAACTGGTGAACATGTCCACGTGCCAGGAGGGTGGTGCCCCCCCAACTCCACAGGGACAGACACCCCTGCACTTGAGGACCCTCCTGGACCTATGTACCTCTTCATCTGCCAGGTCATCGTATGTTTTATTATGTCCTTTATATATAATAAGCTGGTAGACGTATTTCCCGACTTCTGTGAACCATTCTAGCGCATTATCACACCCCTGGAGGGGATCACGGGAACCCCCAGTTTATCGCGGCTCCGTCAGTCGCACGGGAGGTCCTCCCTTGTGATGGGCGTCTGAGGTCGGGGGTGGTCTTGTGGGGCTGAGCTCTTAACCTGTGGGCTCTGCTGACTCCAGGGGCTGAATGTGAGGTCGATACAGGGAAAACCTGGGTGTCAGAGGCATGTGCGTGAATAAGAGGAAACGTGAGTTTTCTTTTTTAGGGGGTCAGACCCCCTGGATCCAGGGTGAAATTCATTGGGGAGGAAAGTCCTCCTCGCTAGGGCCACATAAGGGTCAGTGGCTGGCGCAAGGTGAACCCGTATGTTAAAACCGCCCAGCTCGGGCTACAAAACAGTCACGGGGCTGTGCGGTACGGCACAGGGAATGCAGCCGAGGACAGTGTGATAACTGTGTGGTGCCAGGCGGGGACCACCCCGTAAACTATATACATGTCTAACCACTCTGCTGGACACCCGAAACTAATATAAAATAATCCTGTCAACTGTAATGGAAAATAAAAATTTTAAGCCCTCTCTGCTTTTGCTTTTCCCTGCCTCTCCCTCCCCACCGCCCCAAGCTGGATCAGGCCCCTCTGTCCATCCCTGGACCACACTAGAAGTCTCTAGAAGTCTAACCAGCCTGTCTCCCTGACTCGTGTCCCTCCACGCCGTTACCCGCTCCCCGCCCTCCGTCCCAAGGCACCCTGCTTTCTAGAGAGGCCCCTTTTCTTCTGTCATAGAAGGAAATGGCTTGATCGACCGCTTCACGCTATGCTGTTCGAATCCAGCGCTTGAGCACCCTCCAGCATCCTCCCGCCCTGTCTGCAAGCTCCGTCTGCAAGCTCCGTCTGCAAGCTCCACCGCTGCATGCACGGAGAGCCTGGGGGTCTGCCTGCCCAGACTCCTCGCAAGCGAGGGCCCAGGGCAGATTCTGCCAAGGAGAACCACAGGGAGTCTGCGAGCTGGAGGAGGAGACGCCATCATACTCTGGTGGAGACTATGGGCAGGGGCTCGGGACACGGGTTGGGCCAGCGGCTCACGGGCGCCCGTCTGAGAGTCTCTGGGCCACGGCAGCACTGCCCGCTGCTGAGATGACTGGGGGCCCTTCCCTGCGGACCCCCGAAGGCCGTGCGGCCTCTGCCTCCCGCATTCAAGCTCCAGAAGCTCTACGTCAAGTGGCTTCCGTTTCCCCAAAGAAACCCTGCCTGACACACGACTCAGAAGAGACTGGATCCAACATTGTCACGGCTTTCGGTGGCTTAAGGTGTGTCCCTAGGAGGACCGCACCCCACTCGCCCCCCCCCGCCTTAAAATGCCAGCACTGGGCCTATTTCCCCAGCTCCGTCTCCCGCACTCACTATAAAGGGCTCACAGGAGTGTGGATCTCCCGCAGGTCCGAAGCATCTCTCTCCAGGACCTGGGGACCATTCCTTTGAAATGCAATCATCGGAAGGACAGGGTCCCTGTCCCCCAGTCTCTGTGGGACGATGGACCCCAAGCGCCGTGGCCACCAGCTATCAGGCCGGGCGGCTCGCTGGACACCGGCCCCGTCCGGCATGTTCTCACTTCCCCGACTCTACTGAGCCCCGACACTCCCGGCTCCCTTGTTCTCCCTGTCAAATCCCCAAGTCACCTCTGCACCAATCAGCGTGGAGCTCGGGCCTCTCCCCTGCGCGGGCAGTGACTGGATGAACTCGGTCCCCTGGGTCCCCTGTGTTAACTTGTTTGTCTTGGAGGTGGCCTCCCCGACCCGTGTGGGGGTCAGGGCGGGGTGGGGGGGCGCATATTTTCAATCAGGAGAGCGAGAAGGCAACACTGCCGTTCAAGGATAAAGGTGGTATGCAAAGCGTCCCTGGGGAGCAGAAATGTCTTGGTTTTGTCCCAACAAGTCTGCATGGGTGACGCTCATTCTGTGAGCAAGGAGGTCAGAGCTGGGAGGGAGGGAGCCCCTGGAATTCTGGACCTCAGAAGTCCTCCCCGGAGCCCCATTTGTCCTGTTGGCAGCAGCAGGCTCTGGGCTGGCTGTGAGGGTCCAGGCCGTGCTGTGGACCCTCAAGGAAGCCACCCCGCTCTACCCAAGCCACGGAAACGCACCTCGCTCCCACCACGGCACTCACCCCCGAGCCCTGCTCCAGCCAACAGCTCAGCCACCAGAAGTCGAAGAGGATAAAGACGATGAAAATCAGCATGAGAAGGAAAGACATGGTAGAGACCATGTAACCTGGGAAGAGAGGGGGAGGCGACACGCGGGAGCCGCGGGAGGGTGCACGGCAGATGTGGACAAAGCTGCTGTTCGCCCTGTGTCCCTGGACACTGCGGAGGACTGCCGAGAGCTGGGTTCTGAGGCCAGGGAGCCCTGGCTTCGAATCCCGGCTCTACTACTTGCAAGCTCTGTAACTGTGGGCGAGGGACACTCTGCCTCCTCACCTGCAGGATGGTGATGTGAGTCACACCAGCCTCATGGGCCACTCTGAAGATGCACCCAGCCCAGGGCCTGGCACGTAGCGTATTCTAGAGAAGGCAGTTCCCCTTACACGGGTCCTGAGGGTTTAACTTTCAAAATCACAATGGCTGCCTTTCACGGGGTATGTATACTCCTTGCATACGAAGTGCCAGGCATAGCGCTAAAAATGTGCATCGTTTCTGAATTAGAGTTTCCTATTCCCATTTACTGAGTCTCCAAGAGGTGGGGTAATGTGCCCCAAATCACAGAGCCGGGAGATGGGGGGCTGGGATTCAAAAAAGCCAAGGAGGGGTACGCCCAGCTTGCATCCCCACCTTTAGCATCTGTCTCTGGCCCCAGCGTGCTGCCCTCCTAGCCAGTCTGTGTCCCATACTCTGCCCCCCAGATCCCACGCTCAAGGGCCACCTCTTCCCTTCTCCGATGACATCTGAGACTGTGCCTGGCTACAGAGATCTCTCTCACTCTCTAGTGGGTGCAAATGTCCAGCTAGATCCCAGGGTTGGTTCTTAGATGGCCTTGTGGCCCCTCCCGTCCGGAGCCTGACTCATACTAATGTTTATAAATACGAGTCAAGCGGCAGCCTGATGCATTTGTGCACTTCACAAGCGCGTGCTGGGTTCCCGCTCGGCCAGGCCCTGTGTCACGGGGCTGCTTGTGGTGGAAGGGGTGGGGACGGCGGTCTCTCCAGCTCAGCCTGCCGCTTTCTCCCCACGACAGGTGGAGAGGAGACCCACCTCACACAGGGTTAGGTCCCAAAGTCCATGAAGAGTAAAAGGTTGACAAGGAGTCAAAATTACTCTTGGAAACCTCTTAAAGGACTCAAAAAACGCAGAATCGCACGCTTGGACTCGTGGCTGGAACACGGCCTAGGTAGGTGTGCACGGTTTGGCGATGTGCACCACTTAGTAAAGCAGGAGCGTCGAAGCTTCTCAGTGCCTTCGGAAACACATCTTCATACCATCGAGATAAAAGCTTCGCCGATGGTCTAACGTCAGCGATGCCGATGGTTTTCATCCCATCCCATCCTGTTTCTTTCACTGCGCTTAAAATCCACTCAGTTGATTCCACAGCCCGCCAGTGGCGAAGGACCCACAGCTTGAAAAACGCTGAAATACCCAACCCAGCCTGTCCGCAGCCCGCAATCCCGACCATCTCACTTAAGCTCTCATGCAGCAAGCGTCTGTTCCCCCGACCCTAAATCACCCCCAGGCAAGGTGCTAGCCAACTAGGGACACCCCTACAGCCCAGGGCCTCCCCTCCAGATCAATCAAACCAGTCAACCCGAAGCTGACTCCGTGTACCTGCCTGCCTTGCCCACACCTTCCCACAAAAACCCCAACCGCGTCTATGGGCCACGCCTCCCGAAACCAGGTGCTTCCCCAGGGGGCCCTGCGTGGCACGCCAGGCCCGCTGGCAGAAAGCTCTCCCTCTGTGACTATGATTTCCACGTCTGCGTGTCTCATCTACCCGATGAAAACAAACCCCAGGCGCCCTGGAACACGAGTACCCGCAGAGCTTCCAGCACCGACTGTGGCGGCAGAATTGCTGTGACTGAGGTGCGTTGGGATCGTGCAAGGTAAACCACGTGGCGTGACTCCGCTGCACCTCAGGGCATCACGACCCCCTGCCAGCCAGTCTGGCCCAGCTTCGGTGGCAGGGCTGGTCCCAGAGGGGACCCCCGGCCAGGCAGGGAGCGGCTGGACTGTCCCTCCGGCCGCCCGGACGTGGTGGGTGGTGGCAGACGCGCCATCTCAGTGACCCTTCTTCGCTCTTCTCCTTCTTCGTGAGCTGATTTTCCAGCCCTGGGGAGGAGGAGGAAACGGAGCATCTCTCAGCCTCCTGCACCTTCTCCCAGAGTCAGGACGAGTCCTTGCAAAGCCTTCCGCTCCTGGCTGCCGCCCTTTTCCAGCTCCCCCGCCATCCACCTACAGGGCCCACCCAAGTCCAACCCTAACCAGCAGCTTTTCCATGCAACGCTCTGCTGCAGGAAGCCTTTGACCTGGACCCCAGCATCCGGAGAGCGCGTCCCTCCCCGACTATGCAATCAACCCTCAAGGGCCTGGACTTCCCAAGAGCCCAACGTGGTGAGAGAGGCAGCTGGAGAGAATAAACAAAGCAATGACCTGGGACGAAGGAACTAGACTCGAGAATTGTCATCACGGTACTGTGCAACCTCAGGTAAATCCCTGAACCGCGTGTGTTCTCATTGGTAACTGGCGGGCCTACAGATGGCTGCTAAGATGCTTTGCAGCAATGCACTTCTGACACAACTGCACAAAACATAGTTGGGACACCAGCCCAGGCAGATTCTTGGCCCGGAACAGGATGGGGGGTGGGGGGGCGGTCCCTGGAGATGCCAGCACACGCTCCTGATGACAGGAAGCAGCACGGTGAAGAATGTCTGTTATTTCTGCCTGATTCTCTTCTTCTGATAACAACACCCCAAGATTTCCTGGGGAAGCGAGCCCCCTCACTGGAATTTGAATCTTGAGGGAAATTACACCAGGATGGAAAATATTTGGAGATTTTCTTCAGAAATATTCGGTACCCGCTCCTGCTGCTGAAGCCCCCAAGCTGCCGAGGCCTGCTTCCTCATCTTTTCCTTTCATCCTGTGAGATCGATCACCCTTTCCCTCCAATTATTTTTCTGCCCAGATCCGTTTCTGACCTTCACGGCCGAAGATGCTCTTGGTGACAGGAGCCTACGATGTGCCAGGCATTATACTAGGACCTCATCTAATCTTCACCACCAGACTGAAAAGCTGGTACTGCGACCTTCACCTGTGCCCAGGAGGGTCCGTAGAGGTTAAGGTGCGTGGCTGAGGTCACACAGCTTTGTAAGCAGCAGGGCTGGAATTCAAACCCAGAACCGACCTTATTTTAAAAAGGGACGTCTTTCTGTCCAGTCGTCCCCTCTCAGGGAAGAGCGAGGCCATGAGCCTCCAGACACCGGGGCCTGGGCCCAAATCATTCCTGATTTTAATGCCTTGATTTTTAAACCTGTGTTCCTCACAACCATATAATGAATGAAAATCCAAATGCCTTGCAAAGTTCTCAGTTTATGCCACTTCAGGCCAAAGTGACCCACCGTCCTGCCTCAGCGGCCCGCCCATAAAATTCCGAAGGGAAAGGAGACTTTACGATTTCATTTCGACTTTTCCCGAACTATCTCCTCTGCGTGGAAAGCGAAGGGAATCCGAGGTCTTCACCGCACTCCCTGAATCTGGGTGGCCTCATCTGAGATGGAGGGGAGCTGCTATGAGGTCACCGAATCACCCTGAAACGGCTCGAGGTCCTATATCAGGTGTCAGTCACAGCCAGAGCCCCGGACGGGCGGTCACCTGCAGCTGGTGGGGCACCAGGGCGACAGTCTTCCCCCGGAGGGTCTCCTTAATGCGCTCCTCGAAGACCTGCTTCCCCACACGGGCGTCCACGGCCGACAGTGGGTCATCCAGCAGGTAGATCTCGCGGTCGGAGTAGACGGCGCGGGCCAGGCTGATCCTCTGCTCCTGCCCCCCGGAGAGGTTGAGGCCCCGCTCCCTGATCTGTGGACAGGCAGCCAAAGGCACCCCAGCTGGAGGGTGAGCTCAGCCTGGGGAGCCCACACCAGCCAGGCAGGCGCATGGGGCAGACCCAACCCCCTCAGCACACCCTCCCGGACACCTGATGATTTGGCACCTCTGCCATTTAAAAACTACCTTTCTAAATTTGCCTAGTGACGGATGAAAACACTGCTTTTAGTTCAATAAAATTGCATAACTCTTAATTACGTACAAATTTTCTATAACTGCAACTTCTCAGGAGGCACATTAAAACTTTAATAATTTAGAAAATAAAATAAATCTCTCATTCCCAAGAGACAGCAGCTGCTAACGTATTACTTGGGTTACAAGTCTCTGTCACGTGCAAGCGGCCCCTTGGCCTGGGTGGCCCACCGTTGACCCCCAGACAGCCGGGCCTGACCCGCGAAGGTGGTGAGCAGAGCTGGCCCTCCGCACCCGTGGGTTTCACATGGGTGGCTTCCACCAGCCACGAATCGAAACGGCATTTTCACATTCCCAACCAGAGAGTCCCGACCGAAGATCCAAAATACCATTTTTGATCCTTGGCCGGATGACTTCACGGGCGTGCAGGGCTGACTGTAGGGTCAAACGTTAACTGCGGGCTATCGGCTATGTGGGGGTCGTGCCCTTCCCCCCACGCTGGCCAAGGGTCAGCTCTACTCAGTGGGACAGAGATGCAATCTGCTGCTGCTGCCATGGGAAGGACCACCTTATACGATGCCTTATGTCAGGAGTGACGGACAGTAGTGGGCCACTGGAGTGAGCGGGTCTCCCTGTTATGGGTCCCCTTGCAAACCAGCCCTCCAGGCTGCTGCCGGCTGGCCCACGTGAGTCAGGCTCTGAGGACAAGTCCTGAGCTACCGTGAACTCTGGAGATCTCTAGAAGAGGCGTAGAGCTCAAAGAGCAGGCAGGGTGACCTCTCGTCACTGCCAGGCCTCCAGTTCACCCCCGCGTGACTTGGACCAGCTGCTTACCCTGGCCAGGCCTGTTTCTCGCTCGGCCACTGATTCGACAAACACCAGGCGCCAACTGTGTTCTTCTCCTGATGGGCAGATGCCTGCTCTACCCACAGGGCTCCACGCGCATCGACCCCTGACCCTCCAAGCAACCCGACGAGGTCAGCCCGGGCCCTCCTCCCCCCGCCCGGGAGGCGGCCCGAGAGCCCACCACGGTGGGGATGCAGGACGCTCGCTCCCGCTCACCTCCGTCAGGTCTCCGAAGGGCAGAATTTCCAGGGCCCGGTTCAGGGAGCAGCAGCGGAGCACCTGGAGGTACCTGCAGAGATGGAAAGCTGAGGGCCAGCGGCCGCAGACGCCCCGGCCCCCCCACGGTCAGAGGGAGAAGGTCTTGCACTGCATTTGGATCTGAACCCGAGGTCGAGGGGAAGCCACTGGAGGCTCCCTGCATTTCCTCCCTTCTTCCTTTTAATCCGATACTTGTACTTGGTCAATATTTGAACAGAACAGAAAGAAGACACGGTGAAAAGCAAGTTTCCCTCGCATCTCTGGTCCTCGGCTGCTTTTCCCAGAAGCAGCCACGATGACAGTTTCTTGTGTGTTTATTAAGAAATGATCTATCCACATATGCATGTGTGCAGCATATACAGGCTTATAGGGTCTTAATGGCACCGTAGCGCCCTATTACATACCCTCACATCAATTATTCAGCCACTCCCCCAAGTCTTTTGCTGCTGTGAACGATGCGTCGTGTGAATTATTTTTTTTCTCAGTCTTCATACTCGTGGGTGAAATTGCATTAAGCACCTAGCAGTGCTGAGCCAAAGCGTTGGTGCATTTTTATTCTGAGATTTCAAAATAAAATCAGATTTTATTCAGAGATTTCAAAACCGCCCTCTGAGTCCTCAGTCCGAAAGGCTGTGTTTTGGGACGATCACCTTGGAGGCACACGTGGGGAGGAGCGGCCCCGAGGGGCAAGGAAGGATGCGATGGCCGGCGGCCAGCCCCCCAGGCCACGAGTCCAAGCCCGTTTCCTCCACGTTACGCAACTCAGCACCCTGCTGACTTGCCTTTCAGTTAGGGGTCAAGGATTAATATGATCGAAGTTTTAAAGGAAACTTCTGGACAGGGAGGGTTATTGTGGCCCGTACAGTATAACAGGTAAGCACGAAGTTTCTGAAAAAACTGGATTCAATCCAAGTGACATCAGATCCTGCCAGGTGGGTGACTTTGGGCACTTTATTTAACCTCCTGAGGTCTCAGCTGACTCGCCTAGAACGTGGACATGATAACGCTCTTTCTCTCACAGTGAGGAGGAAATATGGCGATGCACGCTGTGAACCCACAGCAGTGTCAGCAGCTGTCAAATCACCGTTAGCCGCTGGGGGTCCCTCCCACCCAGCCACACACTCCACGCCCCTTCCGGGAGCTTACCGGGCCTTGTCCAGCTGGCTCCCCATGAGGATATTCTCCATGATGCTGCCCTCGATAGTCCAGGCCTGCTGGGGGACGTAGGCCTGGCTTCCGCCCACGCTCACCGAGCCGTCCAGCAGCCGCATCTACGGCACAGCGAGTCCGGCCTCAGGGCAGCGTGGACCGGGGTGGCCCCTGCCCCCTCACAGCCACAGTGCCCAGGGATGCACTGTCCCCTGGATCCTGGGGGCTCCCCTGTGTAGAGGGGCTTCTAATAACCATGAGTGCGCCTGAGGGAACAGCCGTGATGACGTGGAACCAAGCCAGACTGCAGGGCTGCACCAAGGCCAGCGCTGACGGCAGCCGACGCCTCCTCACCCAGCCCCTCTCCCTCGCGAGCGTGTCTCCACGTGCCTCCCGGTGAGGCAGAAAGCTCCAGGCCACCTCCGACCACCCCGCATGTCACAGAATCATTCCTAATGGCGTTAGGTGCGATAATGACTTTGTGGTTAGATGAAAAAATGTCCTCATGTCTTGGAATCATGATGACGTGCTCAGTGGGAAAGTGTCAGAATCTCTGTAATTTAAAATAGTTCTACGAAATGTTTCTACGGGGTTGTGGCAAACGTGCAAACGCCATCGACTCTCAAATCTAGGCGATGGGCGTGTGCGGTCTTTATTGTGGTA